ATCTGGACGACACTGAAGGCATTTTTTGCGTAAAGTGTTCTCGAGATTAGTAATTAGTGATACAACATGCAATTGTATACCATATAATGTATACATATGTGTGTATAGTATATGTATACTATACATAACATATGTTCCAGAAAACCAGAAGCGCGTCAGTACAGACCTTACGCCTACAACTAACGTTGGCTCTACAAAATGTAGACATTTTGTGCCAGTGGAATGATTAGTCAGTTGCATTTTTATTTGACAGCGATTTTATCCACTATCAGCTGTTACTACGAATCACTAATTACCAAACTTACTTGTAGGCCGCCGTCTCTTGTAGCGTGTAGTCAGAATTTGGCGCGCTTCTACTTTTCTGAAACAGGGGGTAAATGTACACACTATAATAAGTGACATGTCACAGGATTCGAACAAACGTCGCGAGTACGATTGCTGGCTCAGGGAGCAACAATATCGGAAAGAAAAAGGAACTGTTGCGGAGCGAATAGAGATCGGTTTCGAAGAATCAGACCCGATTTTTGAGTCTTGCCGTTGTGGTGATTACTATAACATTACTTCTGAAGAGGTGCGTAAAAATGAGTTCTGTTTCGAGCATCTCATGTATCTTTGATCTATGGCTGTATTTTAGGTCCAGAAAATCGTTGACGTTGGCATTTTCGAGTGCGCCTCGTGCTCTCTTTGCCTTGAAGTTTCAAGGACAGCCCTTAATAGCACGTAAAGATTGAGCTACAGCGTTCTATACAAAATATTTGGATTTTCTTTTGCTGGTGAGCGATAGGCTTTTATTGATTTGTTTCTGATTCTCTACATAAAATACTATTAAAAGCGTATTCCAGATTTGTCAGATGTTATCTACGAAAATCGTTGTGGTGGGAGAGAGCGGTGTAGGTAAAACATCTTTTGTCAACGCCTTGTGTGGCAAGTACGTCGGAATTTATTCTTTTTCTTTAGTTATGACTGTGATATTCATTCAATACCTGCTTCAGTTTTGTGTTTGCTTGACAGCATAACAGATTTTCTGTCCGGTGTAAGAGGTGCTCATGAAATTTCAAGTCAGTCGTTATGGAACGCTTTTGCAATATGCAGGTTCTCGTAATGTTGCTTGATCACTATCACATGATCGTATGAGACACAAAACTTAGGCTCATATCTGCTAATCGCCTTTTGTCCTCTGGGTTTTCTGTTTTGCGCATGAAATAATCATATGCAAGAAATGTTCTGAAAGAGCGCAGGTCTCAATGAGAAGGTGGTCGTTCACGAAGTCGCGGTTCTTGAAAAGGGGTTTTGCATGTTGTAGGGGCAAATACAGAACACAATCCGGGTCTCGTTTCCTCTGGACGATTTTACAAATGCCAAAAAATCAGCGAAAATGATTTTCTGGAACTAAGGCTTCATACCTCATAGATCATTCTAAGCGTTTGATAATTGTACCTTGAAAGGTAATCGTGAATCGCCCACCCAAACATGCGAAGATGGGTCAAAGTTAAAGTGTATGGTAAAGTTACATGTTGAAGAATGGTGTTGGAGATTCATAAGCGATGATGGCAACAAGGCACTGCAGCGAATGATACCCATTGATATTGTGGAGTAGAGGTCTGCGGTTGGAGTCTCGCGTGCGCTTCTTGCAGGCTGCACCTCATGACGAGCACCAATTCACGAGGATCTTTGTCGCTGGGAAAGAAAGCAACTTTACTGCTCGTCGCGAGCGGAACGCTCTCGGTGCGGAAACCCTAAGTCTACTTGTGAAAAGAAGTGGGCGTGGGGTGAGATGAAAGTGTCAAGGATTTGAAAAGACACGTCGAGGATTTTCGCCTCTTCAGTGACGCTCTCCCGCGCGGACATTCACTCTAGCCACGTCGTCTGTGTTTTTGAGTGGGGTGTGGTTCACTAGGACAGAAAGCGGCTTTTTCGCGTTTCGCAGCGCGAAACATTTTCCGCTGCGGGAACCTCAGGTCCACCGCTGATCATCAGTGGACCCGAGGTTCCCGCAGCGAATCATCAGTGGACCCGAGATTCCCGCAACGAACAATGTTTCGCGCTGCGAAACGCGAAAAAGTCGCTTTCTGTCCTAGTGAACCACACCACCTCTGGCCGGACGCATAGTCGGTCGGACGACAGCAACGACTGCAAGTGTCGCACAGCATTGGGTGCGTATCGATCTGCGACACCTGCGGTCGTTGCTGTCGTCCGACAGCAGCAGTCGTTGCTGTCGTCCGACCGACTATGCGTCCGGCCTCTGAGTGTACAATCACTCTCGTCCTATCTCTGCACAGTACATAGCCGTGGTCGAGGTTTTCCGCGACCGTTATTTACACTGGCCTGGGGTTCTCGCAGCGAAATGTTTCGTGTTTCGAAAATCGAAGAAGTCGTTATCTGTCTTAGCAACCCGCACCCATTGGCGCGGGTTCCGAAATAGACGCATATTTGTAATCACTGCCATTGAAACTTCGACGACATTGCTCGTTTTGGCTATTTTGGGCGTGGCATTGGCGCAGTTCTGCGAGCGTGGCCGTCTCACCACACTTACATGTACTTTGAGTGTCGAGTCAGAAAACCTGGATGATACGAATCGTTTTAGTAGCGTCGTAGAAGTTATCCAGGGTATGGCCATTTAATTTCAATCAAAAGTGGCTCCCAGACAATGTCCAAAGATTTGGTAGGTGTAATACGCGACAAAAAAAAGCGAAATTTACCAGACCTAGCTGCAGTGGTCGTCAAAAACAATTCTGCCTTTTATCTTTGAATCGAAACATACCTTACCATCCATCGAGATTGTAGTTACTTATACTATTTTTGTTCACATGCTCTTGGAAACAGGAAGAAAACGAAAATGAACCGGACCGATAATTTCGCAAAGCTTTAAAAATTTTGCTAAATAAAAGCAAAAGTGACAATTTCGAGGGCCGGTTCGAAGCTGTTCCAGCTTGGCCAATAGAATAAATACAAATAACCTTGGAAATAAATGGGTGGTGCGCCAAAAGTGATGACATGAATGCAGGATATGTATGTCTCGCGCAGGCCCATCTGTCCCACAAGTGCGGGGCGTATGCGTTCTGCGCTGCTGGCAACGTGTTGATGACCACAGTGAGGTGAGGTTTCATCAAAAAGTGGAAGAAAAGGTCATGGCCGTGAAATGGCGCCAAAAAGGAATGTCATATTCGTGACCAGAGTTTTGATTAATCCCCACAACTAAAGTTTTGGAAAAATTGAGAGCTATGTATCGATAAGCGGTTTTCAGAAGGTCCGGCGGGTCATACGTTAACCCAACAAATGTTTTCGGACAACTTGGAGTCGAGCTCGGGGAAAATTGGGAGAATATCTGGTGATCTACATGATGACTGAAGTTCCTTCCGTAGAGCACGTATAACACCTCTTCGCGTTTCTCGAAACCGACCCCACTACCGACGAGAAGCCTAGTCAGTGGTAGGGCCGAGAATCCTAAACATCACTGCTCGAAGAAGAGGAGCGGCTTTGCCACGTGTCTAACCTCTCGACCATCACAGGCTTGGAGAAATGCTCTTGTCTCTTCCGAGGCAGTATTTCACATTCGCTGAGGGGGTGACCAAGTCTCCGCCTACAAGCCGTCCGTCGTCGTACCTTCGCCTTTCTGAGCTAGGTCAGATTTCTGATTTTTCTAAAACCTTAGCTATAAAGCTATGTTGTCCTCTGATCACGAAAATGACATTCTTTTTTAGCTCCGATACCATTTGGAGCCGCTAGGTAGTCGCTTCGGCACTTCAGCTTGTCTCTACTAGCTCTCGGGAAAAACATACTTATAGTGGTTACTCATGGTCCTCATGCGTGAATGACCTCCGGCTTTGAGTTGCCCCTATGTTAGCACCACACGAATAGCTCACATAGAAATGAATAAATTGGTGTACGGGAATTCGACCAATCGACCATTGAACTAATTTCCCACCTCTTTTTCTCTTCAGAGGACCGTTTAGAAAAGAAAATGAGGCACGGTTTTTTGTATCATGCATGCACTATGTAAAGGTCTTTTGAAAAGGCAAGGCTTGCCCTCACGCCGCTTCCCTCTGTGAGCAACCTCTCTTTGTCAGTGTATTATACTCTTACAATTCAGCCCCAGTGCCGACTCCTCGAGTACAATTGGCGCCTCAATAGCGATGGTTTGGCATGAGTATAAAGCAGGTCTGTTATTTCATGGTCCTGAAGTAAAATTTGTTTCATTTCAAGAGATACGTACGTACAAACCAGTTGAGATCCGTTATGTTTTCGGAATAGGATCCATGTTCCTGAGAGCACACAAGTGCTAACGACCCAATCACTTGTGTGTATGGGGTTCCTGTGGCGACATCTCCTTATTTCGAGTGACTTTATTGTTAATTCCAGTCTTGACAGTAAAATCTATCCCCATAGTTTGCATTGTAGTAATCATTCCTTTATGCTAATGAGCTGAAGCCAACCCCTGAAAATGCTGTTCACGGGTGGATTTGAAAGGGTGATTTGGTGTCTCATGCTAATACGCCTTCATAATCGTATGTTCGTAATAACATCCTGACTTAAAGCTTTTTTTAACGCTGTTTAGGCAAGCAGGGTCCTTATCGTTTTCCATTTCTATTTTTATTATTTTCCCTTCTTCTTTGCTCGTTTTTTTACTCACGTTGCTCATTCACAATTTCAGGTACATCGGAGCAACGATCAGAATTGATGGAGTTATGGGATATCGGTGGATCGGGAGCTCACCGTGCCGCTTCTGTGGTTTTCCTTGACGGTGCTGCTGGTGCGATACTAGTGCACGATTTAAGTAATAAAAAAAGCGAAGAGGTAAATAATTTGCAGATGTTGCGTTAGAAAACCTAATAGTACTAGGCTAGGGTGTCCCCCAAGAGGCCCGCCGCGCGGCGAAGGAAGAGACGCAGACGCGGCAAAGGACGAGTCGCAGCGCATACTGTAGCGGTTAGGCGTCAGGTTAAGTCTCATATCGGACAGCACGCGCTGCGACTCGTCCTTTGCCGCATCTGCGTCTCTTCCTTCGCCGCGCGATGGGCCTCTTGGGTACACCCAGTGGACTACAACTGGCCTGCATTCACTGCAGTTGTGATGAAGTTCTGTCTTCTCTCCATGATTTGATGACTTTCATAAATGATAAATGTTTTCTTAGCCATTCTCCACGATAATATTATAACAAAGGGAACCAAAAATAGCTCTGTGCTACTCGTTCAAATACACGCTGTACATCTGTCACTAAGCTGGCGGCGGGAACTTCTCCACTTGGATTCTAGGATTCCGTCAGTAGGGGGACTTTTTGCCTTCTCAGCTAGGCAATATCATTTCACCTTTTTACTGCATCCTAATCTATCGATTGTTCTCTACTCTCCGAATAAGAATGCTCACAGTCAATGTGTTATCGCGTAACTACACACATCGTCCCTCCTTGACCTCGCCCAGGCTCCTTGGATTCCAAAATCCGGTATTCAAACTTTCTTTCTCTTTGACAACCGAATTTGTAATCATAGCTTTGTGAACTGTCTCTAGTTGTCGAAAATCACGCCTTTATGTGGAGAGAGGGAGAGAGCATCTACCCGTAGAACGTTGCTCCAATGAATTGGACAGCCAATGGATCTCCATGACGAAAAACATTGCTATTTTCAAAGTTCAGCGGAGCATCAGTTATATTCCGGAATCCATACCAGCCATGCAAGAACGTTCATATTCCAAGGTTGCGATTAGAATTAGCTTTAATGTAATGAATATGTGGTGCCACCTAGCGTGATGGGTTGTTCCGCTTTGTCGGTTTTTTTTTGAGGTATGGCTTGTACTTGGTTGCAAATATACTAATACAATATACTAAGGTACTCGTAACTTTTAAATATGTAGGTGACCTATAAATGTCTTACCAGGGTCGCCGATGTAGTGTGCATCAGCGTTTTTGAACTCCTGAGTCTGCACAGGGTGGAGGGCTTGTTAGCTTGGAAGACATCTAATCCATCACCATGCCTGCGGTAGCAGCCATTAGCCCATTTTCGCTCGATCGAGCATAAAAATGTTCTTTCTGTGTCCTTGAAGCAGTGATGTTAGTTTTGATCTGTCCTGCTTATATTCAAGAAAGTGAACGCCAAACCCACAGTTGGAAAAGCCCATTGTTGCCTAGAAGGACCGGACGGATCATTTTGACAAACTAGCAATTTTTACTTGCACCAGTTATCAACACCACGTATTTAGAATTTATCTCAATGGCTTTCGTTACTGGATGGCAAACCGCGCCCATCTGGGTCATCAGGTACACGACCGCTTATGGCAGACATTGAATCCTGCCACATTCCAATACTAACAGTTGGCTGCAAATTGGACCTTGCTCCTCACAGAGGGCCTTCCGCCTATGACAGGTTCTTTGTTTGTTTCCTTCCTCTCTTATCGTGTTGATATATCCCTTTTGCCAGAATGAACATAAACTGTCTGCGGCCAATTCCACCTGGTTCTACAGCAAGTATGGCTTTAGCTCGGTAGGTGGAGTTTTCTTTTACACCAAAATAATGTTACTTGAACTCTCAAGGTGAACAGTATAGAATGTAATCGATGATTCATGTTAAGAAGTCCGTGTGGCTGACGAACTACCAGCGCCATAGAAGGTTTTCCGGACTTCTGAAATGTTAGGTTGAGCAAAATTATCCCGTTTTGGTTTCGCTCATAAGTTTATTAACAAAACTAAACAAAAACAACAATAAATGCGTAATCAACAAACGCTCTCGAACAGTCCTCTCTGCAACCGTGCCTTCATCCCAGGCTTCATTGATTCTACGAGCAGATGCAGAAGCATTCGGTTTCGAGCTCAACTTGCACTCATGTAGCATGAGCAATCTTTTTTTGCTCAGCGTGTAAGCTCCAGAGTGAAGCAAATACACAAGTGTTGTAAATCAGAATGTAGAAGAGATTGCGCGCTCCAAGACTACATCACAATCTCCGAATCAAAGAACCATGAGCCTGAAAAAAATTGCGGATAATTTTTGTTCAGCCTAATATTTTGACGAGAGCGAGGGTTTTTGCTTGTTTGGTCGGGTGGAAGCGAGCTTTTCTCCAGCGCGGCAACGTCGTTTGTCTGCTGATCACGCTGTTCCAAGAGCTGCTTGGGTTTATTTTGATGGAACCTGTAACTAAATGAAATTTGCTACACGGCATAAATTGAGCAAGATCGAATGCTGAATTTATACCGTGTAGCAAATTTCTATTCTTACGATGAGATGAGTTGATATGAATGAATTGATATAGATGATATGAAGTTTTTCAGTAATCGGCGCCCACTCGAAAAGAATCCGCCCACCTTGGTCGGGTTTCCCAAAACAACCTCTCAACTCTGTGCTCTCCATTACCTTTTTTCAAAACTGCGCTGTTCTGGAACGTCAGAAATTTAAGAAAAAGAAAACCTTGGCGTCGCCTTTTTCGGCGCACCTGCCTACCGTGGGCGGGCTTGTTGTATGATGTGCATTTTATACTTCTCAGCCCGTGCCCCAACTATCCCAATTTTGGTCCAGAACTTCCTAGCGGTTCCTCATGTAACACAGAATTTCGAGGCAGACAATCAAGCTGGACAAATAAACAAATATGTTGGCAATTATTTAGCGAACCACATTGGCAATTTTTTGATTCCTGTTTAATCTTTCTCCTAAGTATTCAAACATACACCCCTATTATTTACGGCGATATTCGTTGTCTTTCTTACGGAATCCCGCGATTTTTGGATGGACGAGAAATCGGGTCCGTTTAAGGATCATGTCATTCAGCATAACATTTCTTCCCAAGGAGGAGCCCTGAAAAGCACGGAACGTAGTCGTTCCTTAGCACGGAGTTAAGGTATTCCGCGGGGCTAAAAAATTGATGAGTGGACCTTGTCTCAAGAAGTACAAAAAAACATACATCAGCTAAGCGGTACCTGTCCATGGTGAGCGTTGTATACATCAAAATGAGCGATACTGACAACCAAAATTACACATTCTGTTACAAGACAGCATAAGTCTGGTATGCACTGATAAGGCAGATCGAATCAGGGAGACCCACCTCGGTAGGCGAGCTTCTCTTAAAAGTTGGTCCTAAATGAAAAAAAAATTAACTCGGTAAGCAGAAACCCCATAGAGCAGAAAATTGGTACAGAGAACCCATTTCTAGTGGTAAGGTCTTCCCAGTATATATGATGGGAGTTGGGGCCTGCCCGCAATAGCAGGAGCGTGTCCCCAAGTGGACAGCGTTTCCTGAAAATCCTCATAGCTCGGTCCCGAGAAGTCTTAGAGAGCAAAGCAAAAGTGAGTAGGGGTCAGGGGCGGGCGGAGCATGCATCAAAGTGAGCGAAGTTTGCCACGATACTTCATTATTCGTTTCAGAGGCAATACATGGGCCGAGAAAAAGGTAGGTAGAGGTTGGCGAGGAAGAGAAGATCAAATGTTGCTGGGGGTGAGAGCACGCGCCTAAGTGCTATGAATCTTGCATACTCGCATCTAAATTTTAAATTGGTTCTGAGACAGATCAGAGACGGGAAATAATTGCATGTAGCTTGGTGAGGAAGTAGAGTCTATGCTGTTGGTGGGCGGGGCGTGCACCGATATGGAGAGTTTGCAACAAGCTTTATAAATAGTTTCATTGGCAGCCCAGATACCGGAAAAAATAATCAGTTGTTGAGGTAGGAGGAAGGGTCAGAAGCTATCGGTGGGCGGGGCATTAGCGGGCAGATCTTAAATTCAATGCGAAATATGGATTCCAGAAATAGCACGGAGACCGAGAAGAAAGCGGATAGAATCTACATATTAGAGCAAGTCAAATATTCGTGGTGCATTGGATTGATTTGAGATATTCGTGACGCCGTTCCAAGTCGTCATAGAACTCTTTTACGCACAACAGCATTCGGCCAACTGGTAGCACATATTAGCTATGCTGGGATTGAGTTCACTATTTCAAATTCACTTGAGCTCACAAGAAAGTCATAGTTTTCAGATTTTTTGACGAAACTATTGAACGTACAAAGGCCCCTATCAACGAACGACGTCGCCGTGTGCAACAATTCTAAAAGGCACAGCCATATATATGATATTATTAAATAAGTGGTTCCTTTACCTCTGTGATCCATTGCGAGTGTGGTTGTTATTGTTATTTCCGTAATACATCCTTTTTTGTTATTGTTTACAGCCTTTTATATGAGTAATCTTGAGATTTTTTTTTAACTATCTGGCGACAATGCCGCCTATTGTCGTATGACACTCTGAAATTTCTTTTTTGGCTCTTCTTAAAGATTCCAACAATAGTGTTATGAGCAGCATCATAATATTCACGTTTAGCGTGGTTCACAGAATTTTTCAGTAAGCCCTACATTATGGAGAAACTCGGAATGTGGCCCTTATCTTGAGGACTTCAATGTGGCTTCATGTAGAGGTGTAGAAGTCTAGATCTAAATTCCAAGCTTCGCCGATTCGAAGAGACGAGTTTACTTGTCTAGCCATCAATAGTAATAATATATCATCTAATCAGCATGGTTTTCATAAAGGGAGATCGACTGTCACTGCCATGATTCAGTCGCTCAATCATTGGACAAAGTGCTTGGATGAAGGGAAGACGGTGGATGTGATTTATATCGACTTTTATAAAGCTTTCGATAGGGTTCCGCATGAAAAATTATTGCTTAAAATGAGCATGGTTGGAATACATCCGCGTATCGTTGCGTGGATCGGTGCTTTTCTCACCGGGCGACAATTCTCTGTTCGCATAAATTCTTCTTTTTCTTTCCCTAGGTTAGCCTACAGTGGGGTCCCACAGGGTGGGAGTTCTTTCCCCCATCTTGTTTAACATTTACATGCACGACCTTATGTCTGTCCTCGAACAGAGTAACGTTGGAGTTTGCGCTTTCGCGGACGATCTTAAGCTTTATCATGCTGTCACAAATGAGGGTGATGCTAAAGTACTCCAAGCTGCATTAGATACTGTTGTGCGGTGGTCGGAGGAATGGGATTTGCCTCTTTCCGATATCAAATCTAAGGTTCTGTACCTAGGCGAGCGGAACAAGCGTCACAACTATTACATTAACAACACACTGTTGACTGTTGTCGAGCAGACAGTTGATCTGGGTTTCCTCATCAGTAATGATCTCAGTTTTGACGCTCATTGCGAAACTATCGCGAATAAGGCAACTTTTGTTATGTACAACTTATTCAGAGCCTTGTCGACGACCAGTCCTTCAGTGTTATTGCGCGCTTATAAGACTTATGTTAGACCTGTGCTGGAATACGGCACTCCAGTGTTCAATCCTTACAAGGTCAGGATAATTAAGAGGTTAGAGGCAGTGCAAAACAGTTTCACGAGGAAGCTATTGACAAGAGTTTTGGGTTTTATGTACGATCAGATCCCATCCAGCGTGGCAAGGAACAAAAACTTTGTTTAGCGTCATTGCAGTTAAGACGTAAGCGCAATGATTTGCTATTACTCCATAAGCTTCTCCAAGGTAAAGTAAATATGGATCCAAATCAACTTTTGACTCTTAGACCCTCCGTCACAAGAGGTGGTAGTTTGAAATTGGATGTGGGTAGAGCTAGGTTGAATTGTAGACGCCATTTTTTCACCCATAGAGTGGCTCCCTTGTTTGATAAGTTATGTAAAAAGTGTCCACCTTTGCTATCGTCTCACGTTGCCTTCAAGAAATACTTACACAACTACTTGGTTGCTTGATCTGGTGAGCCCTTGTTCCCTATTCTTTTCTTAGCCGGTCTTTTCCGTTATGCAATTATCCGATTATTTGTCATGTTGATTACAGTTTTGTTCTACTTGTCGTGCTTTATAATGTTGCACAGAAGTTGCAGGGTTAATGATTATACTTTTTTGTGTTGTGTTCACACGACTAGCTCGTGTAATAAATAAAATAGGGTTTTCAAGCATTAAGCAAGCAGTCCTTTCACCGCTCATTTCCGTCGGCAGTCTTTGGATGAGGTCTTTTTTTACGACGATTCCCCTCGAAAGTCTCATCGATCGTGGGCTTCCGATCCCTAGCAACCGTCATTTCAATCCTTTATATTCATGGATTCAGGTGGTTCTAAACTCATCGTCAGTGATATGTGACTGCGTACTACAGCCGGCTGGCAGTCTTACTCCTGTTTCTTCGTCGATAAGAAGTAAATGAAGACGATTTTTTGGATATTTGCCGCTTGGGACTGTGCCCAACATTTTTCTATAGCGAAAATGCGTCCCATTGGCAGCACGTACTTATTTTATCACTGTGCCGAAAGATTTAGGACTCTACCTAAAAGCTATTGAAAGTCGCTTTTTTCGAAGTTTGTTGGCCTTTTTCTGTGGAAGCATTTGGGCATGATATTTAGCTTTCCAGCACGTGCTCGAGAAAAATTTCAACTTTCCACTGCGGAATCTGTGAATGAGGTTGAATCCGAACTGTTTCGCCTTAAATTGTATGACTATACTATTAACTTATTGCAGCGAAAAACCAGCTGTATGCATCCGAAAATAACAACCTCCAGTCACTTGGGTAAAATCTTCATGTGATGTTTGAGGAGTTCCTTGAAAAGGCAAAGGTCGAAGAAGAGGAAACTTAACTGGTTGAAAGACAGCTTCTCTGGGCGCAAGTCGAATCGGAGGATATGACCCAGCGATTCCAGCCGTGGGCTGTCTCTCCCAGCACTATCCGACGCGTTGACACTCACCCCCCCCTTTCTTTGGCTGTCTGACTCTCTGCTTTAGCAGAGAGCGTGTGTTAGCGCGCTTGAAAAGAGGCAGCACATGGAGAGCCAATCAGTGCTTAGATCTCGGGCAAAGTAGGGCTTCCGGGTTTAGGCAGTTCACTTTGGTTTTTTTCTTTTTCTGCCATATATCATCTGAATGGATTCAGTGAGCTGCTCTTCATCGTAAAATCCGCCTTGAAGGCCACAAAAACACTATGATGCCTTCCTGGTTGATACATTACCCGTTCGCTGAATGTTGGGGATGGGACGGGGATGGGGAAAGGTTGGGGAGGTTCGTCGCAGGACCCACTTTGCAATTGTCGCACCTTTGATTTTGCAGCTTTGTTTCATCCTTTTACTGTTTCCTGATTGTATATTCGCTCGAATACCTTTCTTTATCCTAAACGGCGATGAAAGTATTCATTCCCCAACCTTTCCCCATCCCCGTCCCATCCCCAACATTCAGCATAGGTTTGAAAGACGCGAACAAATCTCCTATGCAGAGCGGGGGCACGGAGCCGCAGTGTTCCAAGCGACGAAAAAGTGTCATGTCCCTAATTTATTAGAGCGGCACTTCATCGACACGTTGGCGACAATGCGATGTTCCACGTATCTGCTGCGTGGGACCGCGCCTTTTTCAAACTTTTGAAAAATGCATCAGGAGGATTTCACGTCAAGTTAGGAGGTCGAAGAGAGGAAAATACAGGGTGTTCCATAAATACTACACATTTTAAGCTTCAATTGTGTGGGTGTCTGTAGTCTCAAGGTTGGCATACCTTCACTTCCTATGACCTCTTGTGAATAACCTTGCCGAAGTGCACGGCTTACCATTCGTTGTACATCTCATGGTGCACCTAAACCTCAAAGAGGTCCTAATCCCTCATACAGCTAGGTCGGACATCCGGTGATGAACATCGCGCTTCTTTGGATTTTCAACCGCTCCTTGGCCTACCGTGTACTAAAGAGAAGACCAATGGAAGTAGTCTTTGTTGCGGCCGCCCCACAAGTTCTGACATCTTGGATCTCAGGAAAAGCATGAAGAAGCGAAACGACTGCAATACCCGGGTTGGCTCGAGAAAGGTGACCAGAACGCTGGAGTTTCCAAACACAGTCATGTAGAGAGTGGTCAGATAACAACTGCTCACAGTCCATTATAAGTTGCATAAGCACCACTGCTCAATCCAACGGGAGGAGCACAGCAGAGACAAAAAGTTCAAAGAGCTGGTGTCGAGGGCCGAAAATGGCGATACGCGGGCACCGTTTTCATCGACGACAAAATTCCTCACATGGAGCAGAGCTACAATCTTCAAACTCCGAGGATGCCCGCATGAGGTCATGTGGAAGCCAGTGAGTGAAAGGAAATATTCGCCACAAGCACCAGCCAATCTTTATCACGATTTGGGCAAGGGTCTCAATCACAGGTGGCTCACCACAACTGTCTGTTGAAAAGCGAATGAAACTCGATACAGACCTAGCTAACGAATGCTCCAGTGCACCATTCGTTACTAAGGTATCTAGCTTCTCCAAAGAGGAATGACATTCTTTTCAAAAGTAACCAGCTTCTGCATAAGGGGCAAAATTTGTTTAGGACTGATCTCATGATGCTGTTCCCGATTTCACATCCTCAAACAAATGGCTCTCATATCTCTCGATTTCAACCTGCTGGACCATCCTATTTGGGCTATATTAGGGGACAGGCCTGCACTAAACAATGCATCCAAACAGAGGAGCTGAAGCCTTTTCTCTAGAAAGTTTCGAAGAAGGAACTCCAGTATGCCCTGCGGGAAACACCAGTTGCGTTTGGAGCAACTGGAAGCCATACTCACAGCGTCAGGGAGACTTATCGAATAAATGTCATTCCTTTCAACATCTTAAGGACGGACTAAGAATAGTGTGTGACCACTTGAAAATATACGTCCACTTTGAGAGAAGTTACAAGATAAGAAAAGTGTTGCAGTATTTATGGAACACTCTGTATACCAAGCGGATAGATAGGCAGACGGGTCCCCAAAGATGCGCGATCACTTCGGTTTTGCAGCGAAGAGTATAGCCCCTAGCAGGGCCATACCTGCGCTGCTGCTCGATTTCCCCCTCCCCACCCCACTCGCCATCTAATCTGACTGCTCTAATGGTAAGATGAAAAGCATTAGCTTTGATGCGGTCAGCATGGGACAAACCCAGCACGCAAATCACCGGGCAAAAAAGGCTCCGATTCTCGGGTTCTAGGCTCCCTTGGTTTTTTCTTCGTCCCTGCATCACTGATCACAACCTCTACCTTCTAGGGAGCTGTCTTCTCATCATAAAGTCGCTTCAATTTACCCCAGGGAGGATTTCGGAGCAATCTGGAACT